AATAATTCTGATAGAACCCAACTCATCCAGAGAACAAGGAAACTTGTTTTATCAAATTAGCATAACTTTGACACCAAAATCTGACTGAGAACTTATAAAATAGGAAGAGAACAGGTCAGTCTCTCCCTCTCCCATCAACACTTGCAAAAATACTAAACAAAATAGTAGCAAATTAAATCTAGTGATACATGAAAAGGATATGTATGACAAGTTATTAAGTTTCAGTGATTTCAAAATGCAAGGTTGGTTTAACTTAATTTGACTAAATAATGTATTCACCATGTCCCAGTAGATGGGAAATTCTATTTTTACCAAAACAACAACAACAACGACAAATACTCTTAATAGTGAAATGTTTTAACCCAAGTAGATCAGTAATTAAATGTAAAAAGTGAAAACAAAAAACAAAAAAACAACAAACTGAGACGTAAGGTTGTAAAAATCTTTCTCTTTGAGATGGGAAACAAGATAATGATGCCCATTCTCACCACTGCTATTCAGTATCCTGTGTCCTAGATATTGTGGCGAGGGAGGTAAGGGTGGGTGGGCAGGGAAGGAAGGGAAGGGGGAGAGGTAAAAAGGGAAAAAGAAAAAGAAGGGGAAGCAGTAGGATTGAAGAAGCCTGGGCCTGGCCTCTTGCAGCTAAATCTGGATTTCCAGGGGTAGGACCCAACCTGCAGCCCAATTTAAGAGCCAGTGCCCTGACCACTTTTTGTAAATATATGTAAGGAAGTGTCATGGTGGTGTCACAATCACTTTATTTTTCATTTGAAGAAAATGCTATTTATTTCTAAACAAGGTCTTCCAAAGAAAATACTTGCTTATTTGAGTTGATACCAACTTGAGGTTGGTGTTTTTCTATTATCTACACCAATATTAGCCATTTTGTAAATGGAAATAAATACATCATGCATTCCACTTGGCTCAAAGCTGAATAATTGTTCTAATCAATATAATTTCATATACTGCTACATAAAAAGTAGTATTTCTTTTAAGATTACTATTTCTTGTTAAAAATTTAGACAAAGCAAGATAACTCTTCTTTGACTCAGAAGCTCTACCTATAAAATTATTGGGCTAAATTGCAGTTATTTCCAAGGAATGCATTTGCTAAACCTTTTTCCATTTTGAAGTAGAAATTATTGTGGCCTTTTGGTAGCACTATAATTTTGTGGTTTTGCCTCAATGTCGAATAGTATTGAAACAGTTACTGTTTTGAAAAGTGATAAAGATCGGAAAGGAAGAAATATTACTATCACTATTTGCTGATAACATGATTATATACATAGAAATTTAAATTTACGGGCGAATTAGAATTAGTACGTTAGTGAAGTAAGTACATACAGACTGTAGTTATCTTTCTGTATACCAGCAACAATCAGAAAATAAGGAATATTGAAAAAATCAATTTATTTTAACACAAACATTCCAAACATCAGTGTGTGAATCTAACAAAAAATATGTAAGATCTGTATATCAAAAACTATAAAACATTGAGAGAAATTTTTAAAAGAAATGAGTAGGAAGATACATATCATATTCATGGACTGGAAGATTCAATATTATAAACACTTCTTCCCAGATAGATCCATAGTTTCTAACAATTTCTTAAATGATTATCAACAAGCTGATTATATACTCTTTATAGAAATGCAAAGACCAGTAAAAACCAAGGCAGGCTGTAGGGAAAGGGTATCATTCTCCTGGATGTTGTGACTCATATAAACCTGGAGTCACAGAGACAGTCTGGTCCTAGAACAAGGATAGAGAAGTTGAACAATGTGGTCAAGACAGCTCAGAAGCAGGCCCACATCTTTGGACACGTGGTTGGCAAGAAAGGTCTGATTGCCGAACAGTGGAGACAGGATGGTCTTCTCAACAAAAGGAGTTGGGACAGTAGGCTGTCCATACGGGGAAGTGATCTTTGATTGTAACCTCATATCATACACAAAACTCAGTAACAAGTGGCTTGGGAATCTCAATGTAAAAGGGAAAACAATAAAGCACCTAGAAGTAATCAGAGGCAGGATTATGGCCCCCATGTAGAACAGACATGTTAAAGTTCAACAAAATATGCAAATAGGAATCCTGGCTAAAGATTGGTTAAATTTGACTGTATTAAAATCAAGAACTATTGTTCATCAAAAGACACCGCTAATTGAGCACATAGGCAAGCCACACAGCGAGAGATGTCTGCAGTACAGATAACCCTGAAATAATTCTCTCCCCAGCATCCATGAAGAACCACAAATTAAAAAGAAAAGAATGACAACTCTGTAGAAAAGCAGGCAAGCGCGGTGGCTCACGCCTGTAATCCCAGCACTTTGGGAGGCCGAGGCGGGTGGATCATGAGGTCAAGAGATCGAGACCATCCTGGTCAACACGGTGAAACCCCGTCTCTACTAAAACTACAAAAAAAAATCAGCTGGGCATGGTAGCGCGTGCCTGTAATCCCAGCTACTCAGGAGGCTGAGGCAGGAGAATTGCCTGAACCCAGGAGGCGGAGGTTGTGGTGAGCCGAGATCGCACCATTGCACTCCAGCCTGGGTAACAAGAGCGAAACTCCGTCTCAAAAAAAAAAAGAAAAGAAAAGCAGGCAAGAGACTTGAACAGGTGTGTCCTAAAAGAAGATACCCAGATGGCCAGTGAACACAGGAGAAGGTACTCGATTGAATTAGGTTTTATCAGGGAAATGCAAATCAAAACCACACCTGTTGAGATGGCTATTCTCAAAAACAAAAGAGCAAGCATTGGCCAGGGTGTGGGGAGAGGGGACCCTTGTGCAGCTGGTGCGAATGTAAATTAGTACAGCCATTATGGAGAACAATGTCGAGGTTCCTCAAAACATTATAAAAGAATGACCATATGATCCGGCAATCCCACTGCTGGGTATATATTCAAAAGAATTGAAAAGAAGGTTTGGAAGAAGCATCTGCTCTTCTGTGTTCTTTGTGGCATTGCTCACAATAGCCAAGATACGGAAACAACCTAAGTGTCTGTTGACAGATGAATGGATAAGTGATATATATGCACAATGGGGTACTATTTAACCACAGAAACAAGGGAACTCTACATTTGCGACGACATGGATGAACCTGCAGGACATTATACTATAAGAAATAAGCCAGGCACAGAAAGACGACGATTCATTCCTCTGATAACTTGGTATCTAAAACAGTCAAAGTCGTAGAAGCAGAGCGCAGAATGGAGGTTGCCAGCGGCTGGAGGGAGAGGGAACGGAGTTACCGTTGAGTGGGCATAAAGTTTCAGTTGTATAAGCTGAGTAAGCTCTAGAGCTTTGCCCCACATCATGGTGCCTGTAGTAAACAATAGAGAACCGTGCTTTTAAAAATGTGTTAAGACAGCAGATCTCATCTTAAGTGTTTTCTCCACCATTAAAAACAATAACAAACCACAGTGAGACGCCATCACACTGCCCTGGGGTGCTCAGAGGCTGCTGATGGTGGGGGCATTGGCTCCCGCTTGGGGAAGGAGCTCAGCACCCCTACGTAAGGATAAAGGGGATCAGTGACCAGCAGCTCCCCACTGGCATGTGCCTGGTGGGACGGGGCCTACATACACTGTGGCTCAGTGTTAGCTGTGGTCCCACTTGTCCACAGCCCAGCAAGCACCAGCAGAATGGATGTGTGCATCGTGGTGCAGTTGTGTAAACACAACAACAAGGACCTATGTCACAAACACGGGTGAGAGAGGCCAGGAACCACAGAATAGAGTACCATTCCATTGAGAGAACGTGCAAAACTGAACCACGGTGTTCAGAGAGACAAACGGTAAGGTCGTAAAGAAGAGCAGTGGAGGAAATGCTTGTCAAATTAGTTTACCTTTGTCGGGTCGGACAGAGGATGGGGGCCAAGGGAGTCTGGGGTCAGAGGGGAGGGCATGAGGGTCCTAGTAATCTCCCCATTCTCTCCTTTTACTTTTTAAACAGTTTTTTGTGTGCATTTTCTTTGTGTTTTTAAAAAAGACAAAGGGGGCTGGGCGTGGTGGCTCACGCCTGTAATCCCAACACTCAAGCGGATTGCTTGAGCCTTGGAGTTCGAGACCAGCTTGGGCAACATGGTGAAACCCAATCTCATACAACAAATATAAAAATTACCCAGCTGTGGTCCCAGCTACTAGGGAGGCTGTGGTGGGAGGATGGCTTGAGCCTGGGAGGCAGAGGTCGCAGTGAGCGGAGACTGTACCACTGCACTCCAGCGTGGGTGACAGAGCCAGACCCAAACTCCAAAAAGAAAAGGCTGGTGGTGGGGGTTTGGGGGCTGGGTTGCATTTTCAAGTAAAAAAAACTGGGCTGCAAGGCCAAGTAAGTTTGAGGAACACTGTCCTGTCACCTCTCAGATGCCCACGGTCCCTGTGAGCCCGGCGGAGGCTCCATGAGCTCCTGCACAAGGCATGTGAGACTTGGTCACGCGCTGGGGTTCTGGATTCCTCCCGCAGGGTCACTGGCCAGCCCTGGCTGTGCTTCTGACCCTCCAAAGACGGGGGTTCTGAAGGTTCCAGGCTCCTGCTCACTCCTGGGCATGGAAATGTGTACAGCTCACTACTTAAACTCTTTAATTTTTAAATTTCATTGGAAAACTTTTGTCCAGTGCAAGACAGACAACAGCAGTATCTTTCTGGAGCCGTCTGTAAGGGTGAGGGTGTGGACAGACAGATGACAGACAGGTAACAGCCACAGCTGATGGTACCTGCTACAGAAGACACAGAAGGAAGGATGGTGATGTTTCAGCTGCAGGGGACACGGGGAACCTAGAGTTGTGAAGCTCGTGGCTCAGAGACCTGTGGGAGGCATTCCAGGAAGCAGCAGCCAGGGCTGGGCTGAGCTGCAGGCAGGCAGGACCGTGGTGTGTCAGGAAAGAGAGAAAACCAGCACACTGGGCCCATGGCCAGGCCGTGTAAGGCATCTTTCTATCAGGGAAGAGACAGGTCGATAGGACCAGTGTAGCCTGGTGCAAAGGCATTTTCCCCATTTCTTCTAGATCCAGCACCCTATAAAGACCAGCTGTCCTCGAAGGAACAACCTGGCTTTCTAGCCAGTCAGCAGCTTCTGAGCCAGACGGGCCCCAGCAACCCTCCTGCGGGGGGCCCAGCCCCTTTGGCCCCCTTCTCCCCTCCTGTGACTGCTCTACCCCAAGATGGAGCAGCTCCAGCCACCAGCACCATGCCAGAGCCAACGTCAGGAACTGCCATCCAGGCAGGGGGTGCAGGGACCCCTCAAGGGCCCACCAGTGAGCTCGAGACCTCCCAGCCGCTAGTGGAGACTCACGAGGCCCCACTTGCTGTGCAGCCCCTCGTGGTGAGCCTAGGACCTTGTGCTCCAGCTCCAGAGGCTGCCTCAACCAGGGAGGCCAGTGCCCCAGGGGAGCCCCCGCCAGCTCCTGCACCTGAGCCCAGCCCCCACAGTGGGACCCCACAGCCCTCCTTGGGTCAACCCGCTCCCCTGCTTCCTGCCGCAGTGGGGGCCATCAGTCTGGCCACCACCCAGCTCCCAAGCCCACCCCTAGGGCCCACCATTCCCCCACAGCCGCCCTCGGCCCTGGAGTCAGATGGGGAAGGGCCGCCCCCCAGGGTGGGCTTTGTGGACAGCACCATCAAGAGCCTGGATGAGAAGCTGCGGACTCTGCTCTACCAGGAGCACGTGCCCACGTCCTCAGCCTCAGCTGGGACCCCTGTGGAGGTGGGCGACAGAGACTTCACCCTGGAGCCCCTGAGAGGGGACCAGTCCCGCTCGGAGGTCTGCGGGGGGGACCTGGCCCTGCCCTCAGCGCCTAACGAGGCAGTCACAGGGCGTGCCCAGCCACCCCAGCCCTTGGTGAGTAGCTGCCTTGTCCCAGAAACACTGCCCTGGGTCAGGGGCCGGGACCCAGGCCCGGACTCGGGGGTGGCAGGCATCCCAGCTATGCAGAGCCGACCGCACTTAGGGCCCATCCCTCTCTTGGTGACCCACCCACGTGTGTCTGACTCACCCATGCACGTTTTGCAACAAGTGGCCCCTGTTTGGGGTCGTGCTTGTGCAGCGTCAGGTGACACAGCCCCATCTGTGCACACAGAGAGGCTGGGGCAGCCCAGGGGCAGCCTGAGACGAGGGCAGTGGATTTGCAGATAAAACTGCTGAGATGTTGACATGTGAGTCTCATGGCTGTTCTCTTTTTGTGTTTGTTTCTCCAGGTGGAGAAGTCAGAACTGATCCCTACTCAAGGGGCCATGATGGAGCAGGGCAGGTCTTCATCAGTGACAGGTAACAGCTTGCTTCTCGACCCTCCATTCGCAAGGCTTCCCGGCTTTCTTGCCCCAGAACTTTCTGCATCTGTACCCTCATCTTTTATCTTTTAAGTGATAAAAGCATTTCTTAAAGATTCTTTTATCCACAAGGGTCCTTTAGCATCTAGGGTAGAGCCCAGACACGGCAGGAGCCCATCATGACTTAATTCAAGCTTGTCCAATGTGTGGCCCATGAGCTGCATGTGGCCCAGGACGGCTTTGAATGGGCCCAACACAAATTGGTAAGCTTCTTAGGAGATTTTTCTTTTTCTTTTTCTTTTTTTGATTTCTTTTGAAGCTCATCAGTTATCGTTAGTGTATTTTATGTGTGGTCCAAAACAATTCTTCGTCTTCCAGTGTGGCCCAGGGAAGCCAAAAGATTGGACACCCCTGACTTAATTAAGCCTACTGAGTTCTAGAAGGAACCACATGCTCCCACTCCAGGGAGAGGAAGTCCTCTCTGGAAATAGATAAGGCCCCAGTGGTGGATGCTGGGATGTTGCAGGGACTACGTCACGGCTCCCAGACTCTCCGTTAGCTGTGGGTCTGCACACATTCTGGTGGGCCCATCCTAGCGCCTGCTCTTCTTCAGCAAGGTGACGAGATGCCCACAGAAACGCAGGCTGGCTTCAGCTAAAGCAGGGCAGTGTGGTGGGGGGACGCTGTGACTGCTGGGAGTGCCAGAGGCCAGGGCAACCTGAAGACCTGGCTTGGGGCTTTCTCTTGTGGCTCCTGGCTGCCACCGCATCTCTGTGGAAACACCTTTGCTTTGCTTCTCATTTCATTATCTGTATGTCTCACTCTCCCGTCTAAGAGAGCTAAATTGATCTTGTGAGGTCTGAGGTTCCTTCTCAGTTCAGGGTTTCTTAGGGGATGGGCACAATATGAATCAGAATTCCCCTGAGCCTCCTAACAGAAACCTCAGTGCACATCAGCCACAGACGGGAACCCGAAGTCCCAGGCCACGTTTATTTCTAGACACCAGACTTTAAGAGGGGTTGGGGCATCTGGCACTGGGGTCGAAAGCTGTGCATGCGAAGAAATGGTGATGTTTAGCCCGAGGAAGATGAGGGATGGAGCAGTAGAGTGTCTTTGTAAACGGGTGGAAGCGAGAGGCCGTGTTAGAGCGCCGGCCCCGGCCGTGCTGGGCTGCCTGTGGCGCCCCGTGGATTCTGACCTCGTGCCGTGAGATGTGTCCCATGGACGCCTTTGGCAGATGAACAAACTGAGCTTTAGTAACTTGCAAATGTTACAGTTACTCTTTCCAGAGTGCAGAACTCACGGGGAAAGCTCCAAGGGGACAAATTCTAGTTTGGCAAAAATGACCTTTCCTGGCAGTCGGAGCCATTTAGAAGTAGAGTGCATTTGACAGTGAGCCTCCTCTCCCTGGAGATGGGCATGGGATGTGAGGAGGGGAGTCAAATGTTGCCACAGGTTGAGGTCACGTGACTGGGACTGGACTGCATCACCTTGAGAATCTGATTCGGTATTGTTCCCTTGTGAGTTTCCACATGGGGTGTGCAAAGGAGATGTGTACGTGTGTGGGCAGCCCCAGCCTCCCTAGAGCCTCCGTCCACCCCTGCCACCATCCCCGTGGCATATAGGTCAGGCTCATGCCCCAGCCTGCTCACGAGTTTCCTTTGCCACGTGAGGGTCTCGGCTCAGGCGAGGCCCCCACATCAACTTGCTTGACTTCTCTGGCTGGCTCTTCATGGCCACCATGGGAAAGTGGATGAGAAATAGCTCCGTAGACAGAGAGCTGCAGGTGCAGTGGGCGAAAGTTTTCGAGACACTGTGGGAGCGGGGCTGGAATCTGGCCCCACTGATCTGCGTGGTGAGACCCTCTCATATCAGACAGTGGGGTGAGACAGCAAATATTCAAGTGCACAGGTGCACAGAGGGCCTGGCTGCACCAGGGTGCCCAGGACTGATGCCTCTTCCCATGCCCAGGTTTGTTGGGCATCTGTCATGGAGTGCCATGGGGCCGAGACATCATGATGTATTTTCAGTTTCCAAAACTGCTCTGAGCATACACAGCTGGCTCCTCCCAGTGCCCGCTCCCATTGTCCTGCCTGGCTGGCGGCGTTCCCGTGGGATCATGTTGGGCTACTTTGGGTCAGCGGTGAGCCATCTCTGCCTCTTCCTTCTCCTTCAGCCCCAGTTCCCACAGCAGAGTCGTCTCCCAGGAGCATGCTGGGCTACGACAGAGATGGAGGGCAGTTGGTCTCAGACTCCCGTGTGGTGCCCAGTGCCCCCCAGGTAAGGGCGACTTGACGACCCCCTGGCTGGTTGGCAGGGTTTACTCTGTGCTGACGTTCACTTGAAACCTCTTCATCTCTGCTTGTTTCCCAAGGATGTACCTGCTTTTGTGAGACCTGCACGCGTGGAGCCCACAGCCAGGGATGGTGGAGTCACTGGAGAAAGTTCAGCAGAGCCCCCCCAGAGTGCCATGAGCATTTCCACACCGGGTGGCCAGGCCAGCCACCCCCAGGCACTCGGCGCTCGAGCTTCGGGGTCCCCTCAGAAACATTCAGAGCAGCAGGATGGCAGCTCACCAGCCAAGACTGTGGGCCGTTTCTCGGTGGTCAGCACGCAGGATGAGTGGACCCTGGCCTCCCCCCACAGCCTGAGGTACTCCGCCCCACCTGACGTCTACCTCGACGAGGCCCCCTCCAGCCCCGATGTGAAGCTGGCGGTGCGGAGGGCACAGACAGCCTCCTCCATCGAAGTCGGCGTGGGCGAGCCTGTGTCCAGCGACTCTGGGGATGAGTGCCCTCGGGCAAGGCCCCCGGTGCAGAAGCAGGCATCCCTGCCCGTGAGCGGCAGCATGGCTGGCGACTTCGTGAAGAAGGCCACCGCCTTCCTGCAGAGGCCTTCTCGGGCTGGCTCGATCGGCCCCGAGATGCCCAGCAGGGTGGGCGTGAAGGTCCCCACCATCAGTGTGACCTCCTTCCACTCGCAGTCATCCTACATCAGCAGTGACAACGACTCAGAGCTGGAGGACGCTGACATAAAGAAGGAGCTGCAGAGTCTGCGGGAGAAGTAGGTCCCGAGGGCAGGAAGCACCCCCCGCCCAGGCTGCGGCACCTCTTCCCTGTTGGGAGGGAAGCCTGGTGCCGGGGCTGAAGTCCTGGCCAAGCAGCGCCCACTTGGAGCTGCTAAGCAGGGCGACAGGGCAATGATGAAGGCTTTGTTTTTTTTTTTAAGAGAGTGAGAGAGGAGAGTCTAGCTCTGTCACCCAGGCTGGAGTGCAGTGGTGTGATCTTAGCTCACTGCAATCTCTGCCTCCCAGGTTCAAGCGATGCTCCTGCCCCAGCCTCGGGAGTAGCTGAGACCACAGGCACCTGCCACCTAATTGGCCGGGCTAATTTTTGTATTTTTAGTCGAGACAGGGTTTCGCCATGTTGGCCATCCTGGTCTCACATTCCCGACCTCAAATGATCCACCCGCCTCAGCCTCCCAAAGTGCCGGGATTTCAGATGTGAGCCACCAGGCCCAGCCTCCCCGTGGCTTTGAGTAGAGAGTCTCCCACTCAGTCCTCCAGGCTGGGCCAGAAACCACCCTGCTGTCTTTCTGGCTTCTGACTTCGCTGGGGGCCATGCCGCCTCCTGCTGCCCTTGGGGGTATGTCTCAGGGCATCACTGAGCCACGTCTTCTCACTGTCTGCCTCTCATCTTTCTTCCTCGGTCTCTTCCCTCTTTCTTCCTCTGTCCTCCTCTCTCTCCGCCTCACCCCTTTCACTTCCTCTCTCCCTGTCTCACTCCCCACCCCGGTCTCTCTGTCTCTGCCACTCTCTTCTGTCTCTCCTTTGTCTCTGCCTCCCCCATCCCATCTTCCTCTTTCTCCTTGCTCCTTTCCTTCATCCAGCAAATACTTACTCTGTCCTGCTGCGGCTGGGGGGTTACTGAGACGTCCTTCGGGATGGAAGGGCTGACACCCATTCAGCAGTGCCTGAAGGCACGTTGTAAGCCAGGGCCTGTTGGAAATCACAGGCCTGTGTGGGAAGAGCCACGCACGTCTCCTTTCTCTCTGGTCAGCCCTCTCTGTGCACCACGTACACAGAGGGTAAGAGGGGGTCTGCCCAGACTGGTGGCGTGGTCATTGCCGTGCATTAAGGGAGGACATAGTGAGTGTCTGTGTGTTTGTGCAGACCTGAGGAGAGGGAACTGGAGCTGCTGGGAGAGGCAGGAAGGCAGGGATGGGTGGAATCACATGGCCGAATGGATCCTTGGTGGAGGCCAGAGAGTGGATAAGGCCAAGGTGGGCATGACCTAGAATCTTTTGGGATAGAGGGCAAGCAGATCCTGGGCACGTTTGTTCAGCAGGAATGTCACTCGGGGAGCCAGCGGTCAGCAGGCACAAAAGGGAGCTGAGATGTGGCCAGACCACGGCCCAGCTGCACCTGCTACAAAGAGACACTTGCGGGGGGGCAGGCAGGTGTGGATGTAAGAACACTGCGGAGAGGAGCTGCTGTAGGCTCTGAGAGCCTGTGTCCTGGGTGACGGGCCAGGAGCCAGGGGCAGAGGGCGGAGACTTGAAATGGCAGAAGTGGTCGGGAGCCAGGGGCAGGTGGGGCCTACGGAAAGGGCAGGGAGAGGACCAGAAGCACCTCAAAGGAAAGAGTTCAGGGAGCCTAACAAAGGGAAGGTGGACCCTGGGAGGGCCATGGAGTCCAGGGGGAAGGAGGGGACCATTTAAGAGAGGGTGGGGAAGATCTTCAGCCTCAACTGGGAATTGAGGTGACTGGACGTCTGATTGGCAGTAGCCAGCGGGTCCCCAATCTTGCTTTCATTTGAACCCCCTGAATACCAAGGTGCCTGTGCCTCACTGTGGTGTTTCTGCCATGAGCGCTGGAGTTTCCTAGGGCTCCAGGAGCCCTGTGCTGGGCCCAGCCTGCACTTTCAGACGTGCCAGGCCTTCCGGCTCTGTGGCAAGCAGCCAGGGGCAGCTCGGAGTGGGCCAGGGAACCCCCAGTGTGGGAGCCACATTGCCGTCAGGGACTGCAGGAGATGGGCCATGTAGGTTTGGCCTTGGAGCAGAGCTCCAGCCTGAGGTCCTGGGTAAGATGCTACCCTGCCCACAGCCGCTCCCCAACCCTGGGGCAGGCAGTGCTCTCTTGAAATAGTACTCCCTTCCGGAAGATCATCCGGTGCTGTGCCTCCCTGGTGTTTGTAGGAGAAAGCCACTCAGAGTTATTTCTTTATTTAGAGACAGAGTCTCCCTCTGTCACCCAGGCTAGAGGGTAGTGGCGCATTCTTGGCTCACTGCACCCTCCACTTCCCAGGTTCAAGTGCTTCTCCCACCTCAGCCTCCTGGGTAGCTGGGATTACAGGTGCCCACCACCACGCCTGGCTAACTTTTTTATTTTTAGTAGAGTTTTATTTTTAGGAGTTTCACCATGTTGGTCGGGCTGGTTTCAAACTCCTGACCTCATGATCCGCCTGCCATAGCTTCCAAACAGAGTTCTATTTATTTTTTAGTAGCCAGGGAAAGTCATTAAAAAAAAAAAAAAAAAGCCTATTTGGCAGGTGTTGAAGATTCAGGAGTAAAATCAGAATTTGCTTCATTTCTCACCTTGTTTTGCTTACCATCAAAGGAGGAAGGGGGCACTTGGGGTGAAGTCGAGGATTATAGGCCTCCAGCTAGGACTTCAGCCTTGCAGAAGCTCAGAGGACTGTGATGCAGCAGGGAGGCCCAGCAGAGAGCCATGGCTCCTCCCCTCCTCATCCTCCCTTCACCTTCCTACCCTCCTCATCCTCCCCTCTCCATCCTCCCCTCACCTTCCTCCTCTCTCCATCCTCCCCTCCTCATCCTCCCCTCTCCATCCTCCCCTCCTC